TTTCCTGCCTCTGCATAGTGACCCTGGACTTCCTTGGTGGTCTTCCATCCAAATACTAACCAGGGCCAACCCTGTTGAGCTTCCAAGATCTGTTGAAATTGGGCTAGCCTGGGCCATCCAGGTGAGTGACCTTAGAAGGGTATAGTTCTGCTTAGGATTGCACTGAACTATAGTAAATAAAATCAAGGCTCATTCATCAGTACTTCTTCACATGGTCAGCGATCATAGACAATCGCAAGAAAGGATTAAAGAGACACATATGTGCAGCCAAAGCTTTTGGAGTATTTTTAAAAAATATGTTTACTTTTAAATTTAACAAACAACAAAAGATTATTAAACTTAGACACAACAATACAACATTGACCTACCGTTAGAGATACAGAATACAAGTTTCAGATATCAAAAGACAACCTAAAAGAGGGAAAGATCCCTTTGAATTTTGTTATTATGCATCAAAGCAACCAACCATTTTTTCAAAAAGTTATAATATTGGGACCTCTGTGAAGTTTTAATCTTTTCAATAACATATTCCAATTTCTCCAGAATTGGGTACCACCTGTGAACGTAAGTAGAATGACCAAAGAAGGGTCTAGATTAGAGATACTATCTGATATTTTGTCCATTGATCCATATTTTAGAGTACCACGTTTTGACCAAGGGAGAGTCTCTATTTTTCCAACCAGCTTTTGGAGTATTTTTAATACACTGCTGTGTTTGGAATGGAACACTCTCATTTTGCTTTGAAACTGGACATCTAATCGTCTTAGTAATGGGCTTTAAAAACTGTAGCAAAACCTCTGGGTGTGTGTACACTAGTCCAGGCATAAAGTATGAATTGTTTAAGATTACACCTTAATTACTAGAGCTATTTTGATGTTAGAAATAAATCTGTATGCTTGAATGGTGATGGGGGTGGGGCACATGGCTATTTTTATGTATTTATTTATTCATTCATTTATTCATTCATTCATCTAATTTATATTCTGCCGTCCCTGCCAAGGCAGGCCCAAGGCAGCTCACATAAAATATAAAACAGAAATTAGATTAAAAACAGAGCAATACAATTATAAACATTATAAGACAAAAAAATACAAAGTGTCAGATGGCGGGCTTAGCAGCATCCTCAGACAACAGCCGGCCAATAGCATAATCTGGGTTACCTGGCTGTTGACAATGATGTTGGTGCTGGGCCAGGGCTACAGTTTCTTGGGTGCGGCTTCCTAATCAAAGGCCTGGTGGAAGAGCCCCATCTTGCAGGCCCTGCGGAACTGGAAGACTCCCGCAGGGCCCTGATGTCCTTCGGGAGCTTATTCCACCAGCGTGGAGCCGCCACTGAGAAAGCCCTGGCCCTTGTTTCAGCCAGGCTGGCTTCTCTAGGGCCCGGTAGGGCCAAGCAGTTTTGGAACCCCAATTGTAGTGCTCTCTAGGGAACGTATGGGGAAAGGTGGTCCCTTAGGTATGTAGGTCCCTGGCCATATAGGGCTTTAAAGGTAACAACCAGCACCCTGAACTGAATTTGGTATGCTATAAGCAGCCAGTGCAGTGCTTTTAGCGCAGGCTGGATGTGCTCCCGCATAGGGAGGCCCAACAGCAGCCTGGCCACCACATTCTACACCAGCTGCAGCTTCCGGAATAAGAGCAAGACAAAGCAGCTTTCTCTTATCAGATATTAATTTCATTTTCATTTTAGAGTTTGTGACTTCTAAAAATATGTTTTATATATGCAGTAACAAAAATGAATAATCATCATTGTTTAGCAACCCAGCTCTCTTCATCCAACACTTGTTTGTCCATGGGTCTTAATGAGCATGCAAAGGCTGATGGAATCAGTTTGCATGCAACACTAAACCCTAAACATGTTTTTACATGACTTCAGGGAGCCCTTGGGTCACATCCTCCCTCCTTCCCCTGTGCCTCTCACATTCTTCCTAGTGCATGTTCATGTTTCTTCCCTTCTGTAATTTCAAACTATGGCTTGTTCATTGCATCTTAAATAGGAAAAAAAGTTTTGCAGGAATCATATATGGGAAAACAAAGTTAGTGGAGTGGCTGCTTCACTGACTGTCTTCTGCACTGGTTCTAGAATCTAGGCCTTTTCTCTCTGGTAGGAGTCATACTCTTGACAGTTACTGAGCACCAATGTTCCCTCTAAGCTGCAGAGCCTTGTGAGCAAAAATGCTACTTTGTGAGCTACCGGCATTAAAGTTATGAGCAGGCGATTTGACTACTGCATCAATTAGTCTGCTCTGGAGCCACCCTTCCTGAGCTAAGGCAAAAATCTGTGAGCTGGAGGCTAAAAACCTGTGAGCTAGCTTACACTAACTCAGCTTAGAGGGAACACTGCTGAGCACATGAAGAAACTCAAATGAAAAGCATTGTGCTCAAGGTGTCAAATGCCACAGTTATCGGGTGCAGATCGTGCTTGTATAAGCAAGCTCTGAGAATGCCTGTATGTTTTCGTTTTGTTGTGGAAGAGTGTAGTGCTCTAGGGGAGTGGTCTTCTACCTTTGTAGGCTCAGGGCCCATTGAGCATGAGACCAGTGCTAGCAGGAAGAAGGCCAGAACCTATGCATTGTAGATCTAGGGAACCAAAGACAGGAAACACATGCCAAGCACCAAGAGGTACATCAGAGTGAGGAACAAGTCAAGGGTTAGAGCATGGAGGAATCCTCTCCAACATTGAATGAACTTGCCTCTTCCTGCTGCTGTTCTTAGCATGCATAGAAAGAAATGCAGGAGGCATAATACCTTTGCTCTTTATGCAGCAGGTCCTTCCAAATGGTAGTACCAAAAAAAATAAAAATAAAAAAGGCAGCTCCATAGGTACTTGCAACCTAGCAGGAGGGTTCCACAGTTCACTTAAGAGTCCTGACACATTTTTGAAGACTATACGGGACTGAGTCTTTCATGGCAGTAGATACAAAGTTTTTCATGCATATTAATTTTGCTGCTGTAAACCACTACTTGGGCTTGTTGGTCTTTCATACTGACACCTGGAAGTGACCAGCAATGGCAACGTAATACAGTGGCAGATCCTATTTATTAATGGTATTTGAGGTAATTAGTGAATTTTATAGTTTATGGTAATTAGTGAATTTTATAACTAATTATAACATAATTTATAACATAATTAGTGAATTTTATAGTTTATGGCTAGCTTTCCCTCAGTACTCATTAGAAGAAGGAGAAGAAAAGATTGGATTTATACCCTGCCCTCCACTACCCGAAGGAGTCTCAGAGCGGCTTACAAAGTCTTCCCCTTCCCCTTCCCACAACAGACACCCTGTGAGGTAGGTGGGGCTGAGAGAGCTCTGACAGAAACTGCTCTTTTTCAAGGACAGCTCTTATCAGAGCTACAGCTTGCCCAAGGTCATCCAGCCAGGTGCAAGTGGAGGAGTGGGGAATCAAACCCGGTTCTCCCAGATTAGAGTCTGCACACTGAACCACTACACCAGACTAGTGCATCCATAGTCCAGAACACCACAGCTACCAGAAAATACAACATTTTAAATTCTTTCACTGGGAACACAGAACATGATGCTTATCTCCATAACCAAGACCAGCATTTGAACACAGAGCAGGCTGACACGCATGAGATGGAAAATTATCACCTAGCAAATAACACCCTATGTAGTGTCTCTCAAAGGGACAGGACAGTTTTTTCTCCATGCCAGGTCGATTTGGTCATCTTCAGAGGCCCTGCTTCAGGTGCCCCTGCCATCTGACACTAGATGGGTGGTGACCTGAGAAAGGGCTTCCGCAGTTATGGCACTCGAACCTTGGAACTCTTTCACTAAGGAGATTAGTCCTCTATTGATATCTTCCACCAGCGGCTGAAGACTTTTTTGATTTGTGTGGCATACCCTCAATAACTGTTATTAGTCCTCCTCTCTGGTTATGTTTTTTTTGTTCATGTGTTTTTATTGAGTTATTTTATAATTTTAAATGTTTTTAATTTTTCTGATGTTTTTATGTGCACTGCCTTGGGAACTCTGATCAGGCAGGAAGGCAGCATAAATATGATTTAGGTAAAATAAATCCCATTTTCTCTATATATAGATAGAAATAATAGTAGGTTTCAAGCAATCATAGAATAATAGAATGAAAGGGATCTTGCAGGTCATCTAGTCCAACCCCCCGCACTCTGCAGGAGCATAACCGAAAGATAGCCCTACAACATGCCCAAAAGATGGTCGTCCAGCCTCCTCTTGAAAATGTCCAGTGAAGGAGCATCCACCACCTCCCGAGGCAGTCTGTTCTACTGCTCAACCACTCTTACAGTTAGGAAGTTTCTCCTGATATTTAGCCGGTAACGACTCCCTTGTAATTTCCACCCATTAGATCTAGTCTTGCAATCCAGAGCAATAGAGAATAGATCCGCTCCATCTTCTACATGACAGCCCTTCAAATACTTGAAGACTGCAATCGTGTTCCCTCTAAGCCTTCTCTTTCCCAGGCTAAACGTACCCAACTCTTTCAGCCTTTCCAACCCTCCCACCATCCTGGTTGCCCTCTTCTGGACACGCTTGAGCTGTCAGCATCCTTCCTAAAATGTGGTGCCCAAAACTGGACACAGTACTCCAGGTGAGGCCTGACCATAGCAGAATAGAGAGGAACTACCACCTCCCGTGATCTGGACACAATGCTTCTGTTAATGCAACCTAAGATTGCATTAGCTTTCTTTGCAGTTACATCGCACTGCAGGCTCATGTTTAGCTTGTGATCAACCAGAATACTTAGATTCCTTTCACATGTGCTGCTGTCAAGCTAAGTCCCTACCATTCTATATCTGTGCCTTTGATTTTTTGTACCTAAGTGTAAGACTTTGCACTTATCTCTATTGAAATTTATTTTATTTCTCAGCCTACTGTTCCAGGCTATCTAGATCAACCAATGTGGAGGTAAGAACTGTATTGTAACTGTACACAAAATGATACTATGGAAGTGACAGTAATAAGAATATATGTTCTTCTCTCCTCGTTTTAAATTCTCTTTATTAGAGGCAATATCACAACAAGTTTGTGTTATCACTGATATGAATGAAAATGCTGTGCAGGTGGGGTTTCTCCTGCATAAAACATTGAAGAGTCATGTGAAAGTAAGTACAAGTTTCTCATTCTCACCAGCATGTCAAAATAAGCATAATTCCAGTTTGAAAGATTGTCAGAGATTTTGTGCCATTGTGTATCTTGTTACCCAAAGTAACTGACTGGGTAACTGGGTCACCAGTCCACAACTGAGTCACCAGTCTCCACCTTCCATGGTGGGTTCTTTGAGATGTGAAGCATAACAATGGTCATGTAGACCATCTTGGAATCTAAAGCACCTTATTATTACTATTAGTATGTTGGTTGTGATTTGTGATTTTATTGGATTTTATAAATTTTATGTATGTGCTTATGCCTTTGTAAGCCGCCCTGAGCCCGCTTGCGGGGTAGGGCGGGGTAGAAATACCTGAATAAATAAAATAAATAAAATAAAGAGTGGTTTCAGTAACGCAGGCTGTATTTCCTTTTTCAGCAGGTTAGAAGTTTATCATCAACCCTATGTAAAGATGATAACCATCTGCAAAATATCTTATTAGGACAGTGTTACAACTTTATTTGCATAAATGTAAGTATTGTGGAAAAATCAATAGCAACTTCTAAGCATGTTTATAACATCACATCATTGTCCTTGGGAAAACTGGCCTCTTTGCAAATTTCATGGTTCACTGTCAGACTGACAAAACTCAGACTCTGAATTATAAAGAATAGATTCTGAGTTAAACTAGGCCATATGTTTCATCTAGGCATCAGTTCTCTCAGTTTGAGTGTTGGCTGAATGAAAGTACTGTTTGAGCATTTTATAATCAGATACACTCCGTACAAAGTTGTCATCATTATTTTGGCATTCAACTTAACATTTTGGAAGGGAATTTCTAAATCAGGACAATTACTACTTATTTAGTTTTATTTCTTGCAGTATTTCCATTGCATTTTCAATTTCCTGCTCCAAACACCATATGTTTTGCAGGAAGACATTCTGCAGAATACAATATACTTAAGCCCTTCCTGCCATCAAATTTAAAGAATATGACTGATGATAATAATGTGATTGGAAGGACATTTTTCTCTAGTCAGATTGGTTACTTAGTGGCTCTGTAAGTTTTAATAATCTACTATAATATGCTATTTGACTTAACTTGTGTTCTCTGGAGTGACTTTTTAAAAAAATCCAACCCCCCCCCAACAGTGTTTGGCCCCTCCAGTGTGGCTCTGTGCTTCCTAAAGTGAATTAACATTTATCAGTGAGTGCACAGAGGCTCTTATACAAAAATGGATAAACTTGCCTTGCAGGAGAGAATTGGACTTGTGTATGGTTTTTGTCCTTTACATCTCTTGTGATTCTATAGCTCTGTTATATAGGGGGAAGAGGGAAAAATATAGATAATGATTTACATTACATAGTCTGCTGTGCTTGTGAAGATGCCTTTTTCTTAACATGGGCTTTGGTTTTCTTTAGGATACACCGTCTGACTTTCAGAAAACTCAACAGCTAGTGGAAATGCTTGAAAACACAAATGCTTCTGTTTTATATTCCATCGTTCTAATTTCGGTGAGGTAGTTTGTTACATTGTTATTGTTGTTTTATTGATATAAATATGTATCTATTTAAAGTACTTATATACCTGTATCTTGACTGAGCAACTCAAGACCTAAAGTGGGTAACAACAATATAAAAACAGTTTTACTGTCTGCCACATGACTGAGGCAGGCAAAACTTGGACTGTCCTGTGAGTATCTGTTTACTCCAATTGTTTTGCTGCTTGTCACTGCTATCTTCAATTAAAAATACAATTTAAATGAAAATATGAATGCCAGGAACATTTGAGTTTGGAAAAAAATGCCACAATAGGAGATGTTGGCCACAATAGGAGATGTTGGTAATACTTGAGAGCTATTGGATTATTTGCATATTTTTAAAAATGTACAAAGAAATAAACAGAAGCCTTCCTTTGGTGCTGTTGTAAGTAGCAGTTGGTAATCTTCTGCTTGAAGTTCTATTTTCTTTTGAGAATTTAAATTATTTTCTGAAGGTATCCTGTCCCTTTGCAGGTACACTTGAATAACTTAGAAGACACATCTTGCAGCAGTGAAATGCCCAAGTTAGTTGAACTTGCCAAGGAAGTGAATAAGACAAATATTTTCCTTTATGGTCTCATTATACACTACCAACAGGTATGTACTAGAATGAATAGATATACATTATATCTGTGAATACTCTCCATTTTTTTTAATCTTAATGATATCTTTGTAGTGAATAAAAATCCAAGCAACAAATACTCTAAACTTTGTTTTTTGGTTGTAGAAGTGCTTGCCTGATCATGTTTACTCTTCAACAGCATTCATAATTTCAAACATCCTTATACATAATGCTGATTTCGTGTGATTCTTCTTTGAACGTTCCAACACGCTCCCACAGTGTTTCGTTCTGTGCCCTGTCATTCAGAACCTTCCCCCATCCACTGGCTGTGTGGCCTCAGTCCTGCCCATTTATGCAGAGCACCCAGCGACCCATTGGCTTTCCCTCCAAAACGCCTCCTTCCCTCGCCAGAACTGCTTTCCCTCCAGAACGTCTCCTTCCCTCAGTACAAATTATGCAGCCAGAAGCCCGACGGCCTTGCGGACTTTCAGCCCACCACTGGGTTAATCCTCCGGCGATTACACAACCCCCAGGGAGGGTGCCAGACGCCTGACAGCGCCCGACAACTAACCCACAGCTCCTTTAATCCTCCTACGCGACCCTCAGGGAGGGGGCCAGACACCCGACAGCACCTGACAACTGGTCTTCAGCTCCTTCTCAGTCCCCTTCCTGACAGCATACCTCCATTGCGGCACCTCCACGACACTACTAATTAAGCTTCAACCTCAGGTAAGCCTGGGCCAGGAGCTGGCGGCAGCTTGGTTGGCCTGCTCACTTGGCCTTCCCTTGCCCCAATAGGCAGAGTTGTGCCGGCCACTTCCTCAAGCCTTCGCGGCACTGCTGCTGCACCTCAGAGATGGCCTCAAAGGGGACGGCTCGGAGCTGGGTCCTGGCCTCCTGGCTTTACAGTCCACTCACAGAGAGCGGCGGAGGCCTTACTTGCTCGCTCACTCGGCCTTCTCTCTCTCTCTCCTCAACATGCGAGCCCATCACTCCCTCAAGCCTTTGCACCAGGATGTACTAAAAGGAAGGACAGGATTGCCCATTGGAGACAATGGGAGAGACTTGAAGGCCCATTGGGAATAATGGGACCCAGGAATACCAATTGACTTCCATGGGCTCCATTGAAATACATTGTGGCTCAAGGAGAGTTGCAAAGCAAATGCGGAATGGATTACAGTCTCTGGTCTCAAATACACTACTCTGGGACTGGAATGACAGGCACCAGAGTGGAATGACAGCCCCTGGGGGTAGCAGGAGTCTTCTGGGACTGGAATGACAGGCCCCAGAGTAGAATGGCAGCCCCTGAGAGTAGCAGGAATGTCCTGGGAGTGGAATGACAGGCCCCATTGTGGAATGACAGCCCTTGGGGGTAGCAAATGTGTCCTGGGACTGGAATGACGGGCCCCAGAGTGGAATGGCAGCCCGTGGGGGTAGCGCCAGAGTTCTTGTACTGGAATGACAGGCCCCAGAGTGGAATGACAGCCCCTGGGGGTAGCCGGAGTGTTCTGGGACTGGAATCACAGGCCCAATAGTGGAATGGCAGCCCCTGGGCATAGCAGGAGTCTTCTAGGACTGGAATGACAGGCTCCAGAGTGCAATGACAGCCCCTGGGGGTAGCATGAGTGTCCTGGGACTTGAATAACAGCTACCCCCAGGGGCTGTCATTCCACTCTGGGGTCTGTCATTCTACTCTCAAAAAACTGCTGCTACCCCCCGAGGCTGTTCTTCCACTCTGGGGCCCTTGATTCCAGTCCCGTAACACTCTGGCTACCCTCAGGGGCTGCCATCCCACTCTGGGGCCTGTCATTGCAGTCCCAGGACACATCTGCTACCCCTGAGGGCTGTTATTCCACTCTGGGGCCCTTGATTCCAGTCCCGTAACACTCTGGCTACCCTCAGGGGCTGCCATCCCACTCTGGGGCCTGTCATTTCAGTCCCACAGTGTTGTATTAGAGACCAGAGACTGTAATGGGAAATCCATTCCGCATTTGCTTTTCAACTGTTCTTGAGCTGTGGTGTATTTCAATGGAGCCCATGCAAGTCAATTCGCGCTCCCGGTTCCCAGTATTTCCAAAGACAATCCTGGGCAATCCTGTCCTTTTTAGTACACCCCCTTCACACTGCTGCTGGTGCACTTCAGGGATGGCCTCGAAGAGGAGGGCTTAGTGTGGGGCCCTGGCCTCCTGACTTTACAGTCCACTGACAGAGGGCCTCTAAGATAACTTGCCCTCAAGTGCCCTTTCCTGACATTTGACCTCACCGTACAACAGGTCAGGCCATGCCAGGAGGCTATGGCAGCTTGCTCACCCCACGCGGCACAAAGGACACCACTTGCTCCCTTGCCGGTCCTGGCCCGCACGGTTCATCGCCCCTCAGTCTTCCACAGCAACCAGGAAACAACGCCATTTGGTCTCTACGGGGACTGCCCCTCAGCTCCTTCCCACCAACCCCATGACGAAGATGTCGCCTCCGCCCTGTTCCTCACAGACTCCCTCCAAGGGGTGGTCGCATTCACAACCTCTTCTGTAAACAGCTCCTCAGCACACACCCTGCTCTCATTCTCTCTCATTGTGCAGGGACAACCTCGATGCGCCCTCAAAGGTTATTTGACAAACATGCCTCCAATATTTTCTCTTGGGGGAAAAAATATCCTCCTTATATATACCTGCCACTACCACCAGTTGACAAAGCAACACAAGACCCTCCAGAAAGAGCCACTTTGGTGTGGTGCTTAAGTGCACCAACTCTAACCTCGGAGAACCAGCTTTCGTTCCCCACTCCTCCACTTGCAGCTGCTGGATGACCTTGCCCAAGCCATGGTTCTGACAAGGCCTGACCTTCAAAAGCCAGTTCTTGAGAGACCTCTCTCACCCTAACTACCTCACAGGATGTCTGTGGTGGGGAGGGGAAGGGAAAGGAGATTGTAAGCCACTCTGAGACTTCTTCAATCCCATAAGTTACACCTCTTTTATACAATACAGCTTTACTCCAAGCAGCATGACTCCTTTCAATGGCTTTCGGCAAACAGCAAACTATTCACAGTTTACGTGTCTACCCATGCATTTAGATCCTCCACTGCAATGCACACCTTTGCTTACATCATGCCCACAAAACACATGCCTTTTCACAATGAAGCCTATACAGGTTTCACAACACTCATCTACCCATACTCCTCTTCATCATTCCAACATAACCTTCTGAGACTTTCCTCACAACGACTCTTTCCACCCCACTTTTCCTTGAGACCTCTTCTATCTCAGGATTGACACCGCAACCACCACCACATTGAATGACAGGGACATCCAACGTACACTGACTTTGCAGACTGCCCAATTGCACACACTACTCCACAGACCCCTCTGCTCTGCATTTTCTGCCCCACATTGTGCAACCTTCGACACCACTTATTGTGTACCATCAGGTATGTCAGACTTTACTTCCATGTTTCTGCCTTTCTACTACGTAATGCTAATATGTACTTTACCTACTTACAGCCACTGCATTCTTTAAACTTCACATCTTTCTAGAGCTCGTTTTCTACAATGGGCTTTACTGCTAGTAAATATATATTTTCACTTATTTATTTGGAAATGTATATGCCATCTCTCCTAAAACCAACAGCGTCAGAACAAACCATGAAAACATCATAAAATATTATTCAGCAACCTAAAATGATATTCATAAGGGTAGTTCAGTTCAGTACCTTTGTTGCCATAGATTATAAACATAACAAAAGAAAGAAAACCAGTATGATTTTAGCATTACAAAGGGAGAAGTTCCCCATCAGAGGATTTTACCTTTGCTCCTGAATCCTCATAGCAATTAAAAGATACCTTGCTACTAAACAAGTAATATAAGGGTGCTGGTCTGACAGAAGATCTAAAACAAGCCTCTCATCAGGATATCCATGAAAGTAGTGCAGAAGAGGACTAATTAAAGAATCCCACAGTAACATAGAAGTCACAATAAAGCAAAACATGGAATACATGGAAAACATGGAATACATGGAAGAAATTTAGAAAGCCAACCAAGATGGAAAGAGAAAAAGAACACCTTTCCTATTAAAAGTCGTACAAGTTCTTGTGTCTCAATCTAGCAGGCAGGTTTCAAGAAGTCTGATAAAGGACTACTTCACTCCCTCATGGACATTAATATCTAATTTGTTTCTTAAAACTTTTGAGTGACTGTGGTAAATGGAACATTCCGAATTTAAGCCTATTAGCATCATGCCAAGGTCCTGTTGATTTCCATGGAACATTAAAATAATCTAGAGTACAGACCTGCACATGTTGCTGACCCTCCAGAGGAAGCAGTTTATGATTTGTTGGGGGAGAGCTCCGCCATCTCACACAGGCATGCGTGTGCATAAAACACTTACTTGCCTCATATTAGTCTTTTAAACTATATTAAAGACATATTTTTGTGCAGTTTGTTCCATTGGCAGCTACACTTATGTTACTAGGCTTTGGTTAGTTTTAAGAAACACCCATGGAGTTTGTGGAAGAAATACATAGTAGCCTACCATTGCATTTGAATTTTTGTGAGATATATTTTTCTACCATATGGTAGGAAAATACGAACAACTTCATAATTTATAGAATTTCCATTTCCAACTGTCTAAACCATTTACATTTGATTCTTCAGTATATCTAGATGTTATCGTTTGTTTTGGATGTATACCCCATTCCTTCAAATACAGCTTTGTGCTAATTATGTAAGGTCATTCTTTATACTAGACAGCAATGTATAAAATAAATATACTCTATTGGGCTTGTAGCTGGCAGTTGTGGTGTTGCTTGAATTTTCCATCAAAATATTTTTTTAACTAAGGATATTTCTTTGCTTTTTGGTGTGAGTCAACCTGTGTGGTACTGTCCGTGATATGAATTTTTATATTTGGCAAAGTGTCTGCCTTTGGGTTTCTGATTCTGTTTCCTTGCATATGCATATACCATATGCAAAGATTAAATCTCCAAAATTCAAAGGGCACCTTATAGGAGACTAGGCCCTAAATTATTCTCGCAGTTGTTTT